ATAAAATATGGCATTTTCACACATTTTTATAGGACCTAGAAATTCGCCTGAATTTAATTGAAATCTCTGTGTGAACCCCCAGTGTGGTAGGTATTCCTCCGAGCAGCAAATTATGGAGTAATTTAATATGTAATCAAGAAAATTAACTATGAACCTAGCAAACTGAGTTAATTTCTAGTGGCAGAATGCATTTACTTTTCTGTGTCAAAGGAACTCACTTTATTCCTAAGTAGATACTTAAAAACTCTGGTGCTAATTGATTATTTAAGTATGTAAATTCCCACCAAGGCTGAAAAAAAAATTAATGTATTCAGCTTCAGAAAACCTTTCTAGAAGAAGTGTCAATGTAAGCTTCACTGTACAGTGAAATGCTGCTTTATGATGACTTCCTTCGCTTTAAGTTTCAACTCCTGGCACCTCTGCAAGTATGAGCTACATGAATAAATCATTTGAATGCTTATTGTATCAAAGGTTGAAAGGTTAATGAGAATGGCACTGATAAAAATACAGGTGGAGGAGAAAACATACATTATTTGCAAGTCAAATATATATTAACTTAGTATAGTACTGTCCCTGAAAGAACACCATAAGTCACTTATAATGTAAAACAAAACTTGAAGTGCATTGAAAATTTTTATAAAGTACACATGCATGTATTTTGCTTACTAGATTTGCCAGATCTGATGATAAAGTCACAGAATTCATAGCATTAACCACATACTGGGGTTTCATCCCAGAAGAGTTGTGGGATATTTTCTCTTGGTCTTTACAGATCCAGTAAATAAATGACCATATCGCCAAAATACAGGACAAAATCATAATACTCATAAAAGATAGCTAATAAAATCAATGAAAATGTGGCAAAGTTCAAGTACTTGAGAACAGTAAGTCCAAAATGGCATTTATGATTAAGTTACAAGCAGATTCAGTTCAGAAGTGCTTGCCCCAATTTGAATCAGAATATTTTATTTGCCTGTGTTAATCTAAAAACCATAATTTTATAATATGAAAATTTATAATTTATCAGTTGTTTTTATGAACATGAAATTTTTCTGTCACTCTGAGGGGAGTATAGGGACAGGATGTAAGAGAAGAAAGGTGCTGATGTAGACATGTATCTAAGAAAGAAGACTAACAGAAAGGGATAATTACATTCTGTAGAGCTTAAAATGAAAGTACCACAGTTTTCTTTATCCAGTACTATCAGAATGATTAAATCAAGAACTTCCCACACATGTAGTATGCATGAAGGAAATGGTAAGAGAACGTAAAGGGGAAATAGCACTTGCCATTTGTGATGTACACATTTCATTATTCTTTTAACTGCAGCTTGTTATGAGCTGTATGTATTATCATATGCATTCAACTACAAGTTATTATGACTGTCTTCTGCATCAATTAATATTATCCCATTTTAATTTTCTATGCCTTGAAAAGCTGTCTCACACATGAGCATACTCAGTATTATGATTTAAGTAATTTTAATATGTAACTCACAAAGAAAAGCTTTATCCCACATGGCAGTGAAAAGATTCCCTAAAATTTATGAGGTCAAAAAGGTGTCTCTGATGTGCTTGCTGTCTCCATCATCAGGGCAATGAAACTTGTCCAAAAACAGATGGCATACTCAGTGAATGTTAGAATGCCTACCGAACAGTGAATTGGAGAAGATCTGGAAGGAAATGATCATGGCATGATTTAAGGCACTTTAGCAAGAACATTTTAGTGTTAGGCTGCCATGTTGGCACTTTTTTGTACAGAGAGTGGTATGAAACATGGGCAATGCCTCCTAAGCGCCCCCACCCTCAAGATGAGAGTTGTGGTTCTCATAGTGGTGAAGTCTGTGGTCTTGTGGGTTGTGATTCGCAGTGTGGAATTATTGACAGATAGAAATGCTTTGGAAGAACAGTCTGCCTCCATCTTCATGGCTGAAGTTCTGTATTCTAGTGACAAGACCGAATGGAGTTCATTAATTTTTGCTACATCGTGTTGCTGTCTGATTGGTTAATTTAAAAGACTGGTACGGTATTTATGCTAGTTAACTGGTAGCTGCATTGTTACATTCTTCATTAATTTTTGAATATAATATTTCTATGATTATGTAGTTCATCAGACATATTTACAAGGAACATTGGTGAGTGTCAGAAACTAAAGAAATGTTAAAAAACACATACAGTTTGAGATCATGTCAGAAATGTGGAATTAAATTTCGACACGAAAATTGCACGTGTTCAACAATGCTTCGTTTGTTATCTTCGGCGTATGAATACATTTGATACAATGTCCATATCTATGCACTCTGCACGATATGAATGACGTAATTATAACCTTGACTGGAAGCAAGAGAGGCGGTTGGAAGTAGAAGGCAATGTATGTTTTTTTTACAGATTTTTGGGAAATTAAAAGGAATACAGTGCTGACATTATTGCAAGTTTCAAATAAGTGTTTGAAAAAAGTATTTAGCATGATACCTAAGAAGATCATGAACAGAAACGTGTTTTATACTGGAAAATAATTCTAGATATTTTTGTGGGGTTTGTATCGCCACATTTCCTACACTTAAGAAATGCCTACTTCTTTACAGACAAACCAAGTCAATATGATGGGTGTTGAGGATATGCCTCAGATGAAGAGTCTATCACCTGGACCTCCTTTATCACCACCTAAGAAACAGCAGGTAAGTACAATTTCACATCTTTTAGAACTATTTTTTTGTAGTACGGCAACGCTGTCACTACCATATGATCTTCACGAAATGATGACTCCATTAAAATTACAATAATTATCTTGTTATGGAATAAAATTATGCTACAGTTTAGAAGTAAAAATTAGTGAGACAAAAGCACTGTGTTAAAGGTTTAAGATTCAATAGTATAAAATACACAATAAATAAGAATATTTCGTCATACTCCCATAATGCTTTTCGACTCGCACTCGTGTGGAGTAAGTGGTGTGCACAGTGTTGCCCAACTGCTGAGTCATATGAAAAGTTGATAGCCAAGTGGACGAACGGAGTGAGAGTTCGGCTGATTATATGAAATAACCTTTGTTCTGCTGTTGTTACGGTGAAGTTTGTTTCTTCGGAAGTGTAACGCGAATTTAGTGTGTTTGTGGTTTAATAAGCAAATTCCAGCTTCTCTGCTTGCTCTGGCGTTATAATTTGCCGGTCTGACAGCGACAATACCATTTGTGTATAGTTTTGTAGTACCTGTTACTAACATATTTAATGTCATTGCGTTACTGATGCACATACCACAGTATTTTATGTTGTTTTATAGAAAAAATGAAGTGCCCGTTCTGGCATGACAAGAACAGTTGTCAGTGTTTGAAAGTGAGTTGTAACCTTCTTGGCAAGTTTGTGCTAATCACAGTGTTTCTAACCCAACTGAAGACAGGTTGGATTTAAAAAGTTGTAGAAGAGAGATTAATTTGATAATTGTTTGAAAATTGGGAGGTTTAATGTTAGGAATTGGTAGAGTTACTGTTGAACTTGTAGAGTGTTTGCCTTATTTATAGTGAAATTTAGTGGAATGTATTTGTAGGAATTGGAGAAAGAGACTCAAAATAAGGAGAATGTTTTCAAGAAAAAGAGTTGTAGGTTAATGAGTGAAGTGAATGTGTGTTATATAATTGAATTTGATTTCAGGTTTTGAGACTAACCTTTTTTTAATGTATGACTTGGTATTAACTGTATTGTTTTCTGGCCCCTTGTGGGCATTCAAAAATACTGACGAAAGGCATTAATAAGAAGCACTAGCGATGCAGTGTCTCAAGAAAATGTATCGAGATGAACTTCTGCAGTTGGCCTTACTCTTAAGCCTTCTGCATGTGGATCCAGACTCTTACTTTGGCTATGACATACCGGCTGTAGGTGTTGGAATCCGTGATTTAACTGGTGGAACAAGTTGGGCACATGCTCCTGCCATTATACCACGGCGTATGTTTGTACACCCCAAGAACTTAGACTCAGTTCTTCTTAATTATGAAAGGGAAGTTTTTGAAGACCTTAATGCTCTTGGTCGGTACAACAGGATACATACTCATAATTCAGATGTTACAGCATATTTGTTAAATATTGATGGTGCTATACCAAGTTCTTCATTTGGAACTAGTGCTACAGTTTTGCCTGTGGAAACAAATAGTGATAGACAGATTCATGCTTCTGTATCAGAACTTTCTCAAGAGTATGCTTGTCCATCCTCCAGCAATACTGCGGGAACATCTTTTGCAGAGGATGCAGTTGTCTTCCCAGATGACTGTGTGCCACAGGCTGGTGATCTTACGCAGGAGGTATGGGTCCTATCTCCTGTTAATTTGTGATGTAGCTAGGTCTTCATTTGCATGTTGTAGGTAGACTTCCACATTCATATGAAGCAAAAGATATTCTGCACAAAGGGCAGTTATAAGTGACGTGAAATTCAGTTATTTAAATGCTGTAATTTTCATGAATTTTAGACCTGTTGCATAAAGTCTGTATTTAAATGTATTTGGTCTTGTGTTCTAACTCTGCAAACTCAAAATCACTTCTTTGAATCTTCATGTTACTGTCTGCATCTTTCATTAATTAATATTGTTAGAGTGTAGCATTTTTGACTAATACAGTCATTTTGCTTCTTTACTCAAAGTTCACATCATGATTTATAAAGTAATTAGTGTTGGTTTGTAGGTTATTGATTCTATTTGAACAGCATACGTTATGTAGTGTTGAATGGGACTTAAAGTTAATCATTAATATTCAGTTTGGTGGCGGGAGATATTCCTACTTATGCTGCATGAACTCTGAAATTATATTATTTTATCCACTTCAGAACATTGAGATGCTCAGTACATGTTTATGAACTTAACATTTATTTGGTCCTGCCATTTTTAATATAATTATTCTGTTGTGGCTTCAGGAGCATTGTTTATTTTACTGTTTGCAGTTTGTTTAATGACAGTGTCAGCATTTAAGACTCTACAATGGTTAATGAATTGAAAAGGATGTGGAATGAAGTATTTGTGGCCTATTTAGACCCAAGACCTCCTGAATGTGAAGAAATGCTAACTATCCAGTAACATAATACTGTTGATAATGACTTGTCGTATGACATTCTAATATTTTATTAAGTAATTAGTTGACTGTGCAGAAAATCTCCCATACTGAATGGTGGCCTTTCAGATTAAAACTGTGTTCAATTAATTTTCTTTTCGTTCTCTTGATGGTACACAGTGTGTTTGAAAAGTCACTGTGCAGTTGAAGTTATGTTGTAATAAACGACTTGGCGACACGGACTGGCAATATTGGCAGATTGTGGTTAACTGAACAGTGACTTTTCGAATTCCCTTTAGCTGTTGGAAGTTGTGGTATACAGCATTCCAGGTAAGTTGAGAGGCGATGTAAACACAGTTGCATAAATGGAAGTGCTGTTTCTGCTTTCTAACCTTTTCCCTTGTTTGGTGTCATTTCATATGTTTTTTAAAGAATGAAACAGGTGTTATGTTATTCTTAGCAGTGGTAATGATTTGGAGCATCATATTTGTTAGTATTTATTATATAAGTATTGTTAAATGCTATAGTTATAGGTTTCACTAAAGTTATGTCTTTACAAACAACTTGGGTTGGTGCATATTTATTGTAACAGCATGTTAGCCAGCAACTTCATGGATGACCCACGAGGAAAATATTATTTCAGTTTCTTGTGTGACTCAGGGCGGTAATTTTTGTCAAGTCACAATTGTCAAGTAAGATATTGTTTGCTCATGATTGTTGAGAACAACTGTCAGTTTTTTTATAGGGTTTGGTAGGCAGACAGCATTTCAGTAGTGATAACATCATATGTCTGCGGGACAGACTTTAACATTTCTACCACACATTTTGAAAGGAGTGGTAGGAGAGGAGAATTAAACTAAAACTGTCTGTCATGTTAACTGAGACAAGGTTTTGTGTTGTTGGTTTTGTCTTACCTTCTGTGTTTCATAATGAATCATGACTGTAGATATATATTACTGATTTAACATCTTGCTTCTCCAGTGCTCACTAAATAATGTTAAATTGGGAGTATTTCAACAACATTTTGGTTAAGTTGTGTTTTTGTATTCACTGACATTGTCCTATATTTTTACGTCTCTTGATGCTTCAAGTTTGGCAGTTTGTGGATTATGTTTTCTGTTAATGAAGCTTTTGAATTTGACTTCTTATAGTGCTTCATTCATAAAAGTTTGAACATTACCAATCAAAAACATATGGCTTGAACTTTCGTGTGAGATAGTTTTTCTCGTATGTTATAAATTCCATATGCCATAGGTTAATGGAAGACCCAGATTGTCTTGGCAAAACTGTGATGGTAACTCTGCATCAGAGACTTTCATGCGTACTATGTTTCCCAGAAGCCTGATCCCACTAAAGGTTATATGGGTTCCATAGAAAGATTTATAGTATAATTCCAGAATTCACTATGTTTGCCCATCTTAAAGAATAGTTTACTGTCAAAATTATAAATCTGAAATCTATCCTGAAGCAGTTCTTAAATTGCAATTTCTTAAAAATCTTCAATGTTAGGAAGAGAAGTTTTATGATTCACTGATTACGTATGTATGTGTATATGTATGCATTGTATACTTTTGGATTATATTTCCCTCTGGGAATGTCTTCTGGAAGCAAAATGCATTTCGTTTTTATTAATTACTGGAGAGATGTGGTTGAGGAGAACCCAGGTTTGTTGAAATTTGTGCTGTTTAAGCTTCTCCCTTTTATTGCAACATGTGTCTGTGAAGTTGAGTTTTCACAGTGTAATGTCACATGCTTGAATGATGCCATTGACTGGAAGCAGATTTTGGTTGGTGCGAGTCTTGGTTTGGAATATGTTTGAAATGTTCTTGAAGCTTGTATCCGCTGAAGACATGCTACATCATACATTATGCTGTAGTTAAAGTTTGTTTCTGACTTTCATCTTCATGATACAGGTAGATGGTTGCAAAGAGGATTACTGTGATAACTTCACTTCTGATTATTTCCTTATCTAGGTCTCTTTATTTTGTATTTCCTTAAGCTGTTGGCAGTATCTTCCAGTAGGCCTTCTACATCAACGTTAAATGAGGTTTATATGCGGCTATACTTAGGCATACTCTGTGGAATATAGTGGTTAACTCTGAGGTTATGTTTTCCTAGAATTGCATGGTGATGTTCCATGCATCGATGAAGAATGGTCACCTTCCAGAAGAAGTTTTAATGTTGGAATGGAAGCAGTTTTCCTTTATTTATCTTCTGAGTCCACAGCTTCTCTTGTAGCTAGCCGAACCATAGTCTGATTGTGCCTTGCATTAAAGTCTTCAGTTCATTGACCTCAGAAGATTTGTCTAAGGTAGCCAATTTTTAACCATCCAACCTCAAAGTGGTACAGTGAATGAATATGCCCCAGTGTAATATCAGAGCAAATATGATCGAAGATTTTGCAGTTAAGGGTCATGCTTCTCTAAAATTTACTACTAGAAGTACTTCTACTCAGGAAACAGGTTTCTGTCAGCAAGATTTTTCCTTTGAAGGAGCAGTGAAAAGTTTGAGTTTGCCGATTGACTTGATTCACTCTGACAGTGAAACCTTGACCTGCTCTAAACATAGCTGGTGTGCCATCAAAGTGCAAACTGAAGCACTAATTTGAGCCCAATCTGTCCTGTTTGAAGAACAATTCTGTTTCTGAAATATCTTTGCCGATTCCGAGAGTAGATAGCAGGATGCAAAACAGAAACTCTTCTTCTCTGTGAACAAAATCCCAGCTAATGTTAAAATGTTACTGAGGCCCTTGGCAATCCATCGAAGTTAGCATGGCAACCCTGTTTCAGGTCACTACCCAGAGGTTCAGAATAAAACAGTCTGTTGTAAGTGAATAGCTGCAGGGGAGAAAAATTGTCCAGTTGAATTGTTAAATAGTTGTCATTTGTTTACTTCGACTGAACGTTCTATATAGGTATATGAAAAGGTATAAACTGAAATTATTAATCAGATATGATATACTCCGATTGGTGTTCTAAAGACATGCATTGAAGAAAATCTGGGTGAGTCCCACTGAACTTCTGTATACCAAGTTACAGGTGTACTGGTATATGAACCTGAGAACTTGAATTTCCATCGCAGTCAGTATTTTAACTCGTGTGATTGCAGTAATTTCTCTATGCTATGTTTGAGAAAATAAACAATTTATAAAGGAATATTTTATTTATAATGTCTGTACGTTGCCATGAATCAGGTGAAATTTTTTTGCTGCCAGTATTTACCAAATCTGAGATCATAGAGTATCTGTACATTCAGAATTTTGTACTCCTGTAGTTAATTACAGGAGCTTGCAGTCATTTGCTAAATATTTATGTGGCATTTTATTAGCACAGTATTTTGCTTTATGATTGTACTTCATTGTAGTTCAGAAATAATTTTGGCTTTAAAACAGGTCAAGAGACCTTGATAGTTTATCTTAGCAGATGTATGCAGCATCCTGTTGACTACTAACTATAATTCATGATGTTTTGGTAGATCATGATACGTATAGGTCAGTGATTTTTTCAGGTATTGAATTCACTTTCTGAGTTATTCAGTCTAACATGAAATAATGTAAGTAATCACTTGAGATTATGGTTTGAATAGGTTCAGGAAAGGGTAGGATAGATGTTCATTTGTGTCTAATGCTACAGTAACGCATTTTAAAATATACCATGGCAAGTTGCTTGTCATATTACCCTATTGTCTATTACAGTGAGCTATATTGATGAAAGGGTACTAATGGATTATGATTTTAAATTCTTGACTAACTTGTTTGTTGTTAGTTTCTGAGAACTGTCAGGATTTCGTTGTGTCAGCCTCACATTTTTGGCCTCTCAGTATGGTACTTAAGCTAGTATTTGAACTAAGCACTTCGGTTCATGTACTGTTGTCCATTTTGTTCTGCCCCACTTTTCGACGTACTGAGGGATTTGCATTAAGTGTTTTAAACACGAAACCATGTACTTTGTTTTTATTGGAAACATTAACTGCGAAGCTGATTTCCTTGAAATGCAAAACGTGTTCTTTGGTAAGGTAATCGTAAAATATATGGCTTATAGTTATCGGACAGAATCGCAAATATTTCATGGCTACCGGAAGGCTTTTCGTGGCACCTAACGTAAATAAGTAGATGAAATTTAAATTCTTCGATTTATTGTAGGAATGTAGGGGTTAAGTTAAAAAGATATTTTATAAAATTGCTCTCCAGCTGACAGTTCTTGGCAGTTGCCTTACAGAAATTTAGGTTATTCAGAAATAACCAGCGTCATTCAATGTATCA